GTTTTAGATATTGTGATTCTTTTAACTCACAGAGAAACCAAGGCTCAGAGAACTCAGAAGACCATTGGCATCTTGATGCAATTCTCATCTTGTGACCCCAAATCTTATTCTTATCTAATACAATATTCTATAACCCCAATAGTCTTATTTATCTTTGTACACATATTTACATAAAAACCTATCAAAGTATAAAAAGGTTAGCACTTCAAAGATACTCGCTTTTCAATGAAATGGAAATAAAATGCTGTGTATCACTTTCATGTAACTCAAGTTTGTGGAAGTGCATTTTCAATATGGTTTAAAATTTTCTGTCCTTGAAAAAACTTTTTCTTACACAACAGATTTTACTTGATCCCTAACTCAAGATACAGCTATTGACTCTATGAAATATTATCATTCATAAATTTAAAACATTGTATATTTCTATTAATATGTTAAAAAATTAACATATTAATAGAAAATAAAAAATTTCCTTATGCAATAAGAGTCATACAATGATGGTTATGCAATAAGAGTCATACAATGATGGTTATGGAATGAATGAACAAGTCAAAATGTGAAAAAAATCTATAGAAATTTCGAAGAATTATGCTACAATATAGAAAAACTCATATTTAGATATTTGGAATTGATTAAATGCTGCCATTCCTGAAATTACTCACAAAAGATAATTATATGAATGCCAACAGCTGTGGCATCTGTGACTGAACGTTCAAAATATATTAACTGTTTAATAACATAATATTTTAATAATATTTAATACTTGCAGATGAAGACCTATAGATAAAAAGTAACATGTCTTAACCATCTTCCAAAGGCAACATTTTGCATATTGGGCAATTGAGTGTGATCTGAAAATCTCTTTCTGATTTAGAAAATAGAAACATGATTGTTGCGCCTGTATGGGAATAGGAAAGAAAGAGATTTTAGGTTTACACTAAAAAGGCAAAAGTCAAATAAAAGTAACAGTAACGTGAATGCTGCAACAAACAGCTAAGAAAATGTCCAAACATCACACTTTAAGAAGAATTGTGATAAGCAGCACAGTTGAAGTTCTTATTAAAAGAGTTTTAATAGAATTTGACTGTAAGAATAATATTTAAGAATAAAGACAATTATGCTAAAATAGTATTGAAATGATTTTTCTTTGGGGAAAGCTGAAAATTAAAGAGGAAAACAATTATATCAAAGAGGAAATGATAAAAAGTTTTAAAATAAGATTTACAGTAGAAATAAAATCAAGAGAAAAAACACAGTTGAATGATAGATGTGAATGGAGATATTCAATGTAAAACTTCAAAGAGGGAAAATAGTTTACATATTATAGGAATTTCACTTAAATTATATCTTTTCTTAGTAATTTTGAAGAAATAGAATCATATTTATTTTAGCATTGTACTCTCAGATTCTACTTAATTTTATTTATAAGATAATATGCAAATCAAGCAGAAAACTACTTTATTATTTTTCTATTTAATTATATTATTTTATTGTTTGTTTCCAGGTTATGGGAAATAATTTTATTCACATACAAACAAAAAGCAAACTTTAAACTCAAACAGAAATGAATTTAGGAAATATATCTGTTTGAAATATTTCTGACATTCTTCAGTTTGATGCAAATGTTCAAAATTTGCTAACATGGCAGATTTACATATTCAGAGAGAGAGATAAAGAAACAGAGAAATACAGAGAGGAATTTAAGGTTTGATATTTTAGGAAATTTGGAACTAAATATGCCAGAAGAGGGAGAAGATACTTTTTGATCACTCATTGAAGAGCAATGAAAATCCAAGTTTGTTAGTTATTTTTAGTTGTGCAATTGGCATAAATTCCTGTTGAAAAAGGAAGAGTGCCCACTTGATGTATATGAGACATGGCACATCTTTTCCAGCTTAAACTATACAAAATTAATTTTTGTGTGCTTCCCCACAGCGAGTTCAAAATTTACAGTGAATTTTGCTAATATTGGAAATGCAAATTTATAAATATTAATATTCTACAACCAATCCTAATGGATGTTGTTTGATAGGATGGTTAGAATACTATAATACAATTTAAGAAGACTGTTTGTGAAGGCACTTTGGTGTGTGTCTATTCCATCAATTATGAAACAAAATATAAAAGTAGTTAAAAGCATTCAATGAAATCTTGAGGAGTTTGCAGTTAATTTTCACAGTGTTTAATAGGGGTAATAGATTAAATAAAAACTTTATAAGGAAAATAATCAATCTTAAAAACACAAGAGTTCTATTAAAATATCAAATAAACTCAAAATTATAACTAGATCAATAATAATTACTGAATAGTCAGTAAGTACTTGAGTTATTAAGAAACTGAGTTGCTTGGACACTTGCTTTTGACTTTTATATAATATATTGGGCAAACTTTTCCACTTAAATTGATTTTAATTTAGATAATTGTGACATGAAATAATGTCCTGGAGCAATGTAAAAAGTATGATTACAGTTTCATGTATTTCTGCATGTCAAAATTATTATTTTTTTATTAGAGTGGTTTCCAAAATCATATTTTTTCATTAGATTACAATTTCAGCAATTACTTCTCGAACTGAACTCCTGCTACCTAGGTAAAATATTTCTGCAAGATAACAGAATTAGAAAAATTACCTCTAATGAGGAAAGTTTTGAAAGGATGCAATGTAGTGGGATACTATAGGCAATACAACTTTCCCTTCATCTTATTTTAAAATCGCAGCTTCTGCCTACATGGATCACTTTATTTCTTCTATATTCTGTAGATATAGATTATACAAAAATCACCTTGTTTTGATCCTCATTTTCTACTGAAAAAATAGAAATAACTCATACTCTTTGAAACACTTCCTTTCCATTTTATTTATGGAGAATTAATTGATATGCCATTTTCCAGTGGTGAAACAAGACAGGCAATAGTTGAAAATCAAATTATCTCTTGAAAATACTGTAGAAGTCAATTTAAGATCAATGAGTAGAATGCTAAAAATAATTGAACACACAAATCTAGTGGCAGTTTTGTGTTGTTGTATATTCCAAAACAACCTTTCCTGAGAATACCAATTTTATGACATTGTGTTGCATAATATAAATACAGTACCACTGAGGTTTTGAGATAGACTTGGCTTTTCCTCCAGTTTTTACATTTAAATATAAAATAAATGCTACCTCATTTCTATTTAGTAAAAGAGTAGGTGTCCAACTGAAAGTTTCTATAAATTAAGTAGAAACTTACCAACCACATGAATCACAGTCTTTGGAATTTCTGCCATGCCCTTTTCCTAACTCACTGCATGTAGGAATAAAATCATGTGGTTGAGAACTCCACAAGGAAAGGGTTCAAGCAACAGATAGTCATCATAATAATTATTTATTTTCATTATAAACTTTTTTTTCTCTGAGTTCTCAAGTGCACAAAACTTCATAAATTGTAATTTTGTCTAGCAGAGGGGGGCATAGATATAATCCCAGAATTTGAGAGGCTCAAGTTTGAGGCCAGCCTAGACTACATAATTAGTTCAAGTCATGCCTGGGCTACAGAGAGGAAGCCAGTCACAAAAGAAACAAAACCCCCCAAAATTAAATTAAATTAAAATTAAAAACAATGACAACAAAAACAAATTGGAAACTGGATAAACTATTTTTGCAAATATAAAATTGCCACTATTACATCTAGATAATATTAAAATTCCCATGACTTAGCAGCTATTTTTTTTAAATTAAAAAAATTTTTAAATTAATTTAAAAATGAATTTTCTATGAATGTTTTTAAAATATAGCATTTGATAACTGGTAATATTTTCTAGTTTGAGTAATGATAATAAAGAGTATAGTTCTAAAAACATATTTACATTCATGTTTCCATCTCAGTTAGCAACTTTAAAAACAGAAATCATAGAAGATTTTCTGTAGCGGATTTTGTCTAAAACTTTTGAATTTCCTAGGGACATTCTTTTTTTGGTGATACTGGGGTTTGAACTCAGGACCTTGAGCTTGCTCGGCCAGCACTCTTTCACTTGAGCCACTCCATCAGTCCTCTTCTAGGGATTTTTATTACAGTGATATTCAATGTACTAATATGAAAGCTAAATTACAAATCACATTAATCTGATAATGTTATTGGGAGAAATTATTGATCAAACAGTTACAAGGGGATTATTGGTGCTGAAAATATAAATTAATGACTAAAATCTGTACTGTAGAAAACAATATCTCGTTTAATGCTGGTTTATTTACTAAGTATAAGCTGCCTAAAATCACCATATTGAATTTACAAAGTGCTTTGACTAAAGACTACTAAAGAGGAAAATATTTATAAAACAAAAACAAAAAAACAAATAAATGGCAAAATGTAACTGCAGCAAAACTCACTATTCGCTGAGCCATAGTTGATACTCTACCAATAATGAAATGAATTACTAACATACAGTCTACAAAGTACTTACTCCAAGCCCACATAATCCTAATGAACATCGTAGACTATATTTTCATTAATAGTCCATCTTCACAATAATTTTGTTCCAAAGAGATTTTCCAGCATAACACATCAAATACTATACCTTATTTATTCAAATTATGTCTGTTAATAAAATTGGTAGATAATAATCCTAACAGATTTAATTAAACTAGGAAGAATAAGCACATGGTGTGTGAGTATGAATTTTGGATGAAGAAAAGTTTACAACTGCAGGGTTTTGCAGAATTTTGTAGCATGCTCAATTGCTGAAGCACTTTATTTTATACAAAATATTATGTCTTTTGCTACTGCATTTAAAAGTCATAATATTTTTTACTCTAGCATTGTGCAAGAAAAATCAAATAACCTTATTACTGTAAAATAGTTTCAATCGCATTAACTCCTCATCGTTATAACGACCACTTTGGGCTATTCAAATGACCATTTATAAATGCTAAATATATTTTTGCTTCTATCACAAAAAAACAGTTGTGCATTCCAAAATGATTTCATACATCAAAAGAGACAGAGGTATTCCTTAAATATACCTTGATAAGGAGCACTAAATCCACGAAAGCGGTGATTGCTGTCTGTAACAAAGTGCAGTCTGAGCCAGTTTTTGTTGCTGATAATTGGTGGTGGTATATTCATTCCAGATAACCTGAATTATGAAAGACAATAACATAAAAATTAAAAAAAAGCTTTTTGGCAGCAAATGTTTTGATTGAATTGGTACCACAAACATCTACTTGCATACAAAATGAATGACTTTGTTCTTTCAACTTAAGAGCTAGTGAAATATAAAATTATTCATAGAAGAGTGACATTCCAAACATGTATTTAATAAAGTTGCATGTATTATTAAAATCAACTGTAAAATTACAACTACGTATCATTTTTGATTTATCCAAAATAATTTTTGCACTGATAACATATTCGTTGCATTGGCAATAATAAACACAATAGCTATTGAACTGCAGGTTGTTGTGTTCCCCAAGTCAGCATTGATGCATTATAGTTATGAAACAGAAATTCTTCAGAGAAATTGTTATCCTTATTTCCAGAGTGAGATTGGATGTTTTTTATCTCATACTCCTTGCTATTCATTATTTTAATATTCCACTTTGGATTGTAATTTCAGTACATCTTTTCATAGATCAAGTACTACATTTTAATGCAATTTCAAAATACCATAAATTTTCATGATTTGCTTTCATAATACTCTGTACTTCTATTATGCATAGAGACATTCTCAAACAGATATGTAGAAAGCATATGTATTTAACATACATGCTCATTCTCAAAAATAGTCACAAAGATACCATAATCTCCTTAAAACAAATTACTTAAAGCAAAATGTTAAAACTTTACTGTAGATATTGTTCATTATTAATGTATGAAGTAATTCTTGCTTTTTAATATTTTAAAGATTTGCAGTGAAATAGTTTTTCTGATTTCATACAAAGAAGGAATCTCTCTCATATATTTCCTGGGTATACCTAAGCATTTAAATTCTGGGTAGGTGATATGTTTCCTTGGTAACCAGGATATGACATATATTTAGTATTCTTCCAAGCTCACATTTTTCTTCCTAGAAGTAAACTAGCTGATTAATTAGTTTGTGCTTGTGCTTTCATAGGGTTGAGAGGGGTTATAATTCTCTGTGTTGGACAATCTCTTGACCTAGCATAAGATGAAAGGGGGATGAAAATCCTGTCGCAGTACATGTGATCACTGGTGAATGGTAACCACAGTGGCACAAGGGCACTCTATCCAACACATAGCTCTCGTTAACTGACAACTCACCTTTCCTAGGATGTTTGGGGATGAGGCCTTTCTTTCAGTGAATGATTACCTGTCAATGGAATATAAATTCACGTCTATTTTATCCCTGAGTTCAGAGGTGCACAGAATGTTGGATTCCAAACTAAACAAGTTGGCTCTATTTCATAAGTATTTTTTTCATTTCTGTTATTGGTTTGAAATTATCTTTAACTTTTTACTACTTATTCCCTAATTTCTCTTTTCGTAGAGCTGGCTCTATTTATGGGTCGGGCAGCTGTTGTTTTTTTTTTAATATCTGAATCAAATAAATAGTTTTGACTCAAGTTTTAAATTTTTATCTTATTACTTTCATAATATATTCAGGTTATGTTTGTTTTTGTTTTTTAATTTTTTTGCTCAAGTTCCAATTCAGCAAAAAATATTTGAATTTAGTTCAATTATATTTTCAATAAAGTAGCATGGTTCATGCCAGATTTTGATTAGCAATTTGGTTCTGTTCAATTCCATGATTTGATGAGCATAAATGTCCATTAGGGAAAATTTAAATTATTTTGAGAGGCTACACATATTTCTAAATGTACTGACACTATAATGCATGGATGACTGTAATGCACTGAAGAATGGAGTTTGGAAAAACACCTTTTTCGATACCCAAAAAATGAAAAGTAACTCCACAAGCACATTAAGGAATGTGAGAGAGGAAGAGAGATGGAAGGCACAAAAAGAATAAGAATAAACATTCAACTTTTCAAGGAAATCTAAGATAATTTCAACATTAGAGTAAAGGAAAGTAATAGTTTACAACTATAATTTGTAACTTGAATTAACTTTAAGGAATGTTAAGACTGGAACAGAAAATGTAGAACTGCATAAGCAAGAGATATAATAACCATTAGGAGAAAATAATGGCAATTTATCAGGGGACAAATGGAAAAAAATAATAATCTCATAATCTTCCCCTTATCCACATGTGACATGTTCCAGGACTTCCAGTGAATACATGGAACCATAGTTATTACCAGCTTTTATACATAGTACGTTTTTCCTACACAAAACTTATCTATGCTAAGGCTCAATTTATAAATCAGCCACTGTGTTTGATCAATGCTAATTAATAAAATAATAGTTATAACAATAAACTATAAAGTTTATATGAATGTGATCTGTCCCTCAAAATATCTTATTATACTTTTAACTTTTCACTTAAAGCAAGCACTTTACAACTTCTCTGTGGCTTATCTGAATTGCCTGCATTACTGGCATACCAAATTGCCAGTCCACTATTCTTACACTTTGAGACTATTACTTAGTAAAATAAGGATTACTTGACCACAGTGCTACAATACTATGACAATCAATCAGATAGCCACCAAAGATCCTAAGTGACATAAATGCAGGTCACCAAGACAGTGTGCATACACTGAACAGAGGGTTGACTGACATCATTGACGGGATGGCACATGATGGCATGAGATTTCATCATGCTACCTAGACTGTCCACAATTGATAATTTATGAATTGTTAATTTTCAAACCACTGTTGACTATAGTATAAGTAACTGAAGCTGTAGAGTGTACAACCACATACAAGGAGCTGGGGGCTATGTCATTCCTGACAAATCTACATACTTTATGTAAAGAGCTAAGAAATTGAATTGCAAGTTACTTGTGACACAACATTCCTCTGCCATCAGAGAAGAAATGTAGTCATTAGTTTTAGAGGATCTACATGGGCTTTGCAGATTGTGATCACTTAACATTACTCATTCTTTTAACATAATTCATATGTATGGAACAACTAGTAGATAGGAGTCTACAAGTCTCCACTATTTCTCAAATTATTAGGAAAGCTGGGAAATGGGGGAAAGAAAATATATGTCACCCAGAAAGATCCTCTTAATCTACTTTAGATAATTAACTTCTTAAGTACTAAAGGAGATATTTAAAAATAAGTTATTGTTATCCCTATACCAAATCACCAGGTCATCTGAAAGTAAGTAATTGTGGGTTCATTCTAAAGTCAATGAAAATCACATTTAATAATGTGATTATTTATTAATGTATTCATTTACTGAACAATTACTATATGACAAACACTAATGTTAAGGGTTGTAAATGTAGCAGTAAAATTCATGTTTTTAATACAGTGAAAATTTTTAAGAATTTAAAGATTTGAATAGATAATTTCAGATAACTGCAAGTAATGTATCCAGAAAAAAGAAAAGAACACAATGAAGAATTTGTAGAAATAAAGTTTCAGCCATTTTAATATATATTCTATGTCCATTAAAATATACATATTTATGGTTATATGTCTTAGGTTACTAAAGTTCACTTTAACAGAATATGTAAAATGTCATAAATTTGTCACCTGCTATACTTATGTATACCAAAGAAGAATTCAACATGTCTTAAAAATACAAGGTAAAAAAGTGACATTAAATTTCATTGCATGTTCCACATCCAAATACTGACAATAATAGTATGATGTATTTTGCCATATTTAATCTAAGCATTTATATCATGTTCTTATGATGTAAATAACTAATTCACAAGTTGATATTTAAAATTGAATGCAACATTCTCTTATGGTTAATCCCTTAGAGAATAATTATATAATCCTTACAATATTCTTTTGGCAAGAAATTACTTATAAGAAATTAGAGAGGGCTCAAAGTTTTTGCCATTGTTTAGAAGTTCCAAAAGCTATAACAAGTTAATTCTTTGGTTTTCTAGCTTTCTGAAAATTTTCATTTGCACCAACTAGTTCCTTGGTATCTGTAAAGTTAATAAAAATTTCCATTTCTATAAAATCAAAATAATGTAATGAAATCTGTATTTCATCATCTTTACCACTCAAAAAGTTAGACCAGAACTAGTCATGTCATCACCCCAAAGACGCTGAAATTCCATATGTTACATAATTCCCCCACTTTCTCCCTCTCTCTCGCACTCTTGCTTGCTTCCTCTCTCTTGCTCCTTTACCTGTTATGAACTCCTTCCTTCTCTGACATGGAAATAAGTAGTCTTCAGACATCCTATATTCTCCATGACCTTGCTAAATTAATTATAGTATGGTCATCTGCAATAAGTTCCTGAGATTCACTCTTTCATCTGATCTCAGGACTTTTTCCTGTATTTTAGTTTATGGATGACATAAGTATCATTTCTTTTCCTTTACTCACATTTTCATAGTCATTCTCAGAGAAGGTGGATTCCATGGTTAAGCCAGACACCTAATCTTCTTCTCTGTCCCCTCATAGCATTCTGCAAACTTTGTCATGTCATTTATTACTTTTTATGGTGGCAAACTTTCTATTTTTTCTAGTATTTTTCATTTTCTTACAGGTTATTAAATCCCTGGAACTTCACACATTGACTGATTAATAGTAGGTGTAAATTGACTTTGTTTATCAAGAAAATAAATTAATAGACATTATTTGGCCACATCCTCTTAGTAGCTATGTATTTCCTTATAAATTTTATATGATAGGAAATTAATTCCATTTCATACCATTATCAAAAATTTCAGTTCTTTTTTTTATAGAAGACTCGCCTAAAATTCTATTTCCTTCATAAGTTTTCTTAAGTTCTCCTTGGCGAAGCTTATCTCTCTGTTCTCTAAACATCAAAAGCAATTGTTAAAACTATCCTAACGTCATGTCTTACTCTTTTTGTCTGATTATATTATCCATTTCGAAATGATAAGAAGTTGACAGCAGGATCCACATTGGATTTATCAAATCCAAAGCATATTTCAAGTTATAGATAATGAATGAGACTAATTAAATAAAGTGGTGTCTTATTAGAAATTTCCTCAAAGTACATTATGAATATTTTCTATCAAAAATACCTTGGGACTACAAGAAGTTTTACT